ATGAGTGAATTTACATTCTAAAATATATCTACATACAGCCGTACGTAGTCTGTATTGAAATCTCTAAAAGGCTTATATTTAGAAACGGGGGAGTATTATCATCTTGTTTCATAATAATATGAAAATGTCAACCGTGGATTCAGTAGTAGAACGAGTTAACTAGAGAATGTGTTGAATAAGTGAGAAATAGCACTGATTAAAGGTTTGAAGTTTGAATTATTACCCTCGGGTTTGAAGTCTGTTTTAAAAGCTTCATTCGCAACAACAAATTTACCTGATGTTTACGGGAGTATGAGTGGGCTTTTTATATAACAATGTTTCGATCGAAGCTATGGCTGTATGAATAGCCGAGTCCATCTTCCAATTCTAGGTTAACTTGCAATCAACAAAGAAGGCGCTCGGTGTACTAAGAAATAATCAAACAATGAACAGTGCGACACCAAGAGCAAATGAAACAGTAGAACGGGCACAAGGACTAATTTGTTTGCACTACAGCACATGACTAAAAATTTTGCACTACAGCACATGCGAATTCTCACAGGAGTTAGCTATTACTGCACCATTGAAACGTGACCAAACAGAAAGGGAAAAGGAGTGGCAGGGTAGGCGTAGGCTCAGAACCGATTAGGGATTACCTTATAAATTGGCGGCCTGTCTTTCCACATCAGAGATTCACAGGCATCTCGCAGACAGAGATTAGCACAAGGGGGCTTGGAAGAAGTCGCGATCACAAGGGGACCATCCAGGCGCATGGCGGCGAGCCGATTTACTTCGACGGCGGCGCGGCACGACTCACGATCGAGGCCTCCGGGGAAATAGGAACGTCGCAGCGCACGCAAACTCAGGATCGGAAGAAGGAATACATGACGACGTGGGCTACGTGCGACTTGGGCCATGGGCTACGTGCAAACCTGGGAGGGGGCCCCTGGATTTCGGGGGCCCGGGGCGGCCGCCCCCCCTGCCCCCCCTCAGGGCCGGCCCTGCTTCTCATCCACATTTTCTGAAGCGATATTCAGCTTCCATCCAGCGCTCGTCGACGCCGCCATGGCGGCCACCATGACCACCTCGACCTGATCGTCTTCTGCATGCGCCTCATGTCCGGCCGAGCTTCCAGCACCGTTCGTGGACGCCCCCGCGATGGCCACCATGGCCACGTTGGCATTGATCCTCGTCTGTCGGTGCTTCCTCCTAGGCCGTCTCCCTGCTAACATAACCGGGAGCGTCGAGATTTTTGCCTTCCTGTCGTTTCCTTTCCGACTAATATATTATTCCCTCCGTTCCAAAATAGATGACTCAACTTTATACTAACTTTAGTACAAAGTTAATACAAAGTTGGGTCATCTATTTTGGAACGGAGGGAGTACGTGGCTCTTGGGCGTGTGAGTATTGGACAGTTGGACACCATTGGCCTGGGATTATTGTGCTCGTTTTCGTGGATGGGGTTCCCTGGTCTCTTTGACCTGTATCTCGGGTGGACTACTTAAAAAAAACAGACGACACCTCGCAGCTTAAAGCCAGAGTCCGGATCGTTTTTTGTAGGCTTTTTTTTATTTTTGCTAAAGGAACCGAGTACGAATTGCTTTTCTTATTTGTTTGAGAAAAAAACAGAAAGAGTCTAGATCATGACTCATGAGGGTGCAGGGAGGCCGTAAAAGCAATGGGCCGGCTTCGTCTATACTAACGGACGGACGAATGAAGACGGACAAAAATTAGGGTGTAAGCAATTAGTACCACATCGCATATATGTTTATTTATAAACTGAAAGTGCAAATTCACGGGAAGAAGCGTATTGTGACGGTGAACCCATGGAGTCAATCCGTGCTTTATTATTACTAGTACATATGCCCGTGCGTTGCACCGGGCGAAAAAATATACCTGCTTCATGTGCATTGTGCACTATTTATATCCAATTTTAATAAATGTCGATGATAATGTTAAACATGGAAATTTTCTTATTTTTAATAAAAGTTAATGTTTTCAAAATAATGGAACACTTTTTAAAGAGTAGTTAAATTATTTTTAAGAAATTGGATCATCTATCTAAAAAGGAACATTGTTTGAAGAGATGTTTTAAAAAAATAATGTTTTGCTTGTTTTTGTTGTACATTTTTAAGTGGAAATATTTTTTAGTAAAAAGGGAACATTTTTTGGAATTTTTTGCTTTTTTTATGTGTGAACATATTTTTTTGAATTAATGATAGTGTGAACATATGTAAAACTGTGAAATTTTTAAACTATATTTACAGTACAAGAAGGAACACAATGGCTGACAAATTAATAGCAATTGTTCTCTGTTCATCAAGAGAACGATTTTTGTTTCTAAGCTAAGAAGATTCAGTTAGATTCATCTCCTCCTATGAGCTCCGGTCAAACAGCCAACGGAATGATGACCAAACCATTGGATAAGATTTAAAGTCCAGGTGACAACGCATTCGAGCACAGATTCTCTCACACACAGAACTCATGAATTCAGGCCAGACTGATTAGTAATTGATGAATGACAGTACAATTTCTTTAATTGGCACCATCCAACACTAAACGAAACAAATCAAATAGATCTAAGATTGGGTTCTGATTTGTGATCAGCAGTCAATAGGAGCAGAGCATGGTACAGATCGACCAATGTATTTAGGTGTCACCAGAAACACAACAGTTCAAAATGATTTACCGTCATCTAGTAAACACAATGGAATATCAAAAGCACTTCATGAAGATACTCTATCGTAGGCCGAATATAGTAGCATGATATTTGTGAGCACCGTCATCTAGTAAAACAGAAAAATGTGCAAGTAGCATCTGATTAAATAGTTTTGGGATCTATTTCAAAAATTATATAAGATTTGAAGCAAATGCTAGAAATTTGTCTCTTCACAAGCTCATATTTTGTAACTAATATGGAGCTAGAGAAATCATCTACCATACTAATTTAAAACTCTAATTAGACAAAAGAATAAGAACAAGTGCTTCTACCACAATTGTACAGTATGCATATATGAACCTGCAAATGTGTGCTATAATTTAGGAGCATTCAACACAGGCAATGCTTATATATCATGGAGCTTATTCTAGAAAGCACATACTTTTAGGCATAAAAATAAACACCTATTTGGCAGGAATGTGTTGTTTATTGAAATTAAAACAAAACAAGCACGGGAAGACCATACTGTATGTCGTCTTCAGATATATCCATCAAGCTTGCTCTTCACTTTCTGGATTCAGAACCTCACCACAGCAGCCTGCTCTGGGTAACCAAATTTCAGGAAATGCCAAGACACCAAACCCTGATGAATTCATATATGTGCTTATTTTTTAAATAAGCACATACTGCAGCCAGTAGCAGCAGCAGAAGCAGCGTGGAGACCACTCGATTTCTCATGTAGCTATTTCTTTCCTTGCTAAGTTGTTCTACTTCAGTTGTAGTTATGTGAGTCATAAAGACAGAGAAATTTATACATGAATCCCGGTTACCTGTATAGGCTATTACCAGACAACTTAATAAGCTAGAAACTAATTTCAGGTAGAACAGTTGGTAGCAGCACTGTGGACATCACACTATTAAATAGTTGTTTTTCTTTTTCTTTTTGCAGAAACATGTGCTTACACATCAAAATCAAGCACGTCCATACTCATTCATATACATCCCGCAACACTATCACGCACACTACCTAAACAGGAATCAGATTGACATAAAGCAAAGTGAGAGTTAACACTATATCAAACTAAACATTTTCTGAAGATTTACATTGCTCTGCTTTGCAATGAACTGCAAAATCTGCAGAAACCTGAAACTCTGGCCAGGATGAGCACCACGGTTGTTACTGCCAATTTTGACGCAGTTACACAAACTCCTGAGCTGCTAACACCAAAGTGACGAACATACACGAGGATCGGAAGTGATTAACCGCAGTGTGATATGATATGGCTGAGGAAAGCGGGGCGGAAAACCTGTTGACGGCGGCAGAGGTGTGCGGGCGTGTCAAGAGATAGCGACGTGACACGTGACCAAAGAAGCTCATAATCTTCTTCTCTGCTAATAAAACCTACTCCTTCAACCCGCTATAAAGAAATTAGATAGTTTCTAATGAGTTGTTCATATTCAATAAGCCTGCATAGAAAGAATTATAGAAATCTAAACATTTATCCATCTGATAGATCAAAAACTACTTCTTCAATGCGAAAATGTGCATCATTCACATACTTGTAGCAGCTTCAAATAGAACATATAATATCTCGCAATCCCTATTATAGTTAATTTATATTTATACTTTCCCATTTCCAAAATATGATGGTCGGAAAGTAAAGAGTTTATAATGCTTTGCGCTCTTTGGTTGACATGTTGTCACCAGTATTAGGAGCACACCCTCCCCCCCCCCAAGCCGTCGTGCAAGGCGAACCAGGACGCGAGCAAGATGCACCGTTGTTGCACTCTCTGTGCTCTTCATCCCTCCCTCTCTCCTCCCTATCTTACCAAGACATCAGTGACATCCAAAGTCGAGGAATATCTTGATAATGAGCAAGTATCGGTGAGCCCCAGATATCTTCTCCCTTACGAAATCTTATCTCTTTTCAATATTCCACTCATTTTTAAACTATGCCACAAGAAATATTGTTATATATGATCTGTATCTGTAAGATGTGGTAGGCATGAATATTAAATTATGAATCCAGTAGAAAGTACCCCCTAAAAAATATAAGAATGTTTATATTTCTTTAATGAGGAAGTAATTATAATGGATGTTCATCCAAAAAAAATTGTAAATTGGTGCATACATAGCATCCAGCAGCTTCGGGTCCAGCACATCATCTAGCGACAACAAGCCACCGCCCACTTCCCACTACGTGCCCCCTTATCCAGAACACGCCATGCTTCCTCCTCTTCTTCTCCATCCACCCGATGCTCTACCTTCTTTTCTTCTCTATCCAGGGAAGGAACCCCTTCTGTCGGTGAGGAACCATCAGATTTTGGAGCTCCTCCATCGTCGTTCGATCTAGCCTCCTGCTCAGCCGCTGCCCATGCTCCGGACGTCCAGCAGCCTCGCCCCCGACCAACAGCCTCGGATCCGTCCCGATTTGGACGTCCACAGCCTCGCCACCTGCGCCAGGCATGCTTCCCTTCCAAGTCCGGCCGACCCCGCACTGCTCATCCTCGCTGCTTCCTCTGCTCGCGGCTCGCGTTGACTGCAAGGAGGGTAAGCGCCTCGTCCAGCTGCGGCCCACTTGCCACGGTCGGGCCTGCGGCGGAGGGCCCAGCGCGCGGTGGCGGGGAGCAGCATCCCCATGCCGTGGTGGCGGAGCCCCTCTCTGGTGGGTGGGTGGCCGACGGGGGCTACATGGTCGGTTTGCAGTGGTGGCTCGGTTGCTCGCCAGATCTGGCAGCGGTGATTGGAGACTTCGCGTTCGTCGGCCTTCTTCTCCGGCGAAGGGGAAGTCGGGGACGAGCCGGCGGCCGCGGCAGTAGGGGATTCGTGGGAGCAGCAGCCGCGGCCGGCGTGGTGGCGGTGGTGCTTCTTGGGCACGGGCTGACGCAGCATCTTGCGCATGTCGTAGGCGTCCTCGCCGTCAGCATAGTACTTGGCCTCGATGTCGTGGATCTGGTAGCCGAGGGTGGAGGTGTAGAGGTTCAAGCCGGCGCGGTTGGAGCGACGGACGTGGAGGAAGACGTACTCGGCGCCGAAGACCTGGTCCATGGCCACAAGTGGCCTGCAAGGCGGGCCTGTGGCGGAGGCGCGGGAGGCTGTCGGGGCAGTGGTGCTCGGCGTCTGCCTCTGGCGAGATGTGGCTGGCTCGGTTGTGGTGGTGCTGCGTCCAGTGGCGCAAGCTCATCCATCTCTGTACTCTCTCTCTCTCTCTCTCTCTCTCTGGCTGAGCGCTATCCTCGGCTCTGTCTCCACTTCGCGTCGGCCTCAATCGAATCGTTTTTTCTCACTTGTTTCTGGACTGCGGGTTAATTTCTCAGAAACTGGGGGACTTTTTTGCAAAAGTGACGACGACGTACGACCAGAAGCACTCCGTGCTTTATTAGTAGGGAAAGACTAGTACAAATGTCCGTGCGTTGCACCGGGCGATAAAAGTGGTAGAACCTGCTTGAAGGTTCATTTTTTGCCCCATTTTATATCCAATTTTAATAAATGTTGAACGTGGAAATTTCCTTTTTTTTAATAAAACTTTAATATTTCATTAAAAATGTAACACCTATTGAAGAATAGTTAACATTTTTATAAAAATTAGAACATACTCTATAAAATAAAAGAGAAATTAAAGAATGTATTTCTGTTGTATATGTAAATGGTTTTTATAGTCAAATGTGTTTTTTGGGGGATAATTTTTAAAAATAACATGTTCTATAAAAAAATTAAACTATTTTTTGTGTTAACTTTTTGGGCATTTTTGTTTGGCAATTTTTACAGATAGTTGGTTGTTTGGTTGGAAGTTTTTTTTAACTATCTGGGCTTGCCAATAGTTCACGTATACAGAAGGACCCATGAACTCATCTTGTACTATTGTGATCCCTAAAAAAACTAAATCTTCTTACTGCTGCACCATGAGGGCTCTTCTTTATCTTTTCACACCCTCCCGTACTCCCTTGTGCGCCGCCAATGCCTGCACTCCGTCCGCCATCTCCTCAAGGCGACCAAAGCCTCGACGCAGGCGAGTGTAACTACGCCATTTCCCTCTCATCCTCTGGCACGGGCAGCGCGTCGTCTCTATCGCTGCCGCCGCCGTAAAAATGTCCGTGCGTTGCATCGGGCGAAAAATATCTCAACGTCTTCGTATTAAAAGAACGTCGTGCACCCTTGCACTAAGAACACTACATAACAGTGGTTGATTCAATCTCTAAAACCTAGCTACCCAAATCTACCTAGTTGATCTTGTTTATTAATTCAACAGCAGGTAGTTGTAGCTTAATTTTCATTCGGTCTCAATGGATTAATTCAGGCAGTATTTTCTATGTAAAATGAAGCTATACATCATTACAATAAAGGTTCTGTTATTTCTCTTATAAAATAAAAATGAAGCATTACTGTATGTCTAAGAAAACACTCCCTCCGTTCCTAAATATTTGTCTTTCTAGAGATTTCAACAAGTGACTACATACAGAGCAAAATGAGTGAATCTACACTCTAAAATATGTCTATATACATCCGTATGTGGTAGTCCATTTAAATCTCTAAAAAGACAAATATTTAGGAACGGAGGAGTATTTACATGCAGCTATAAAAGGTTTTGGTGCTTCCGAAGTGAAAACTTTATTGTGTACATGTATTTGAAAACAGGGAAAACATAAGTTTCTTGTGAGAATTAGCACAGGCATTTGCTTGGCAACTTGAACAAAGCTCAGGCTTTGCATATTAAGTTGCACCAATGGTACTAAATATTATAAAACAGAATGCCGAAGGAAATAGTACCTAGGCACCGAATTAAAATGAGTTAGCAGATCACCCATGAGAATAGACCAAGGTAGGTCATGGAAGGCAATGCATTGGGTATTATTGACCTTCTGAAACTCTAGTAAATATATGCTAAATGTCAAAGTAATTTGCTTGCTCCTGACTCCTGCGAAGATAAAGGTGACATAAGACCGATTACCCTGCAATATTAAAATCAAGACTCATAGGTCCCAGCAAATTACGATGCTAGAAGAAAGGAAAAACTAAAACTCAAAAGCAACTGAAATTAGAATGCAGGGACATATGGTGTTCATGGATACCTCTTGTGGTCGGTCTCCCCACATCGAGGATACGTAGTAGTAAACAATCTTAAGAAGGGCTTCATTTTTTGCCATAATAAGGCATCCCTTGGTGAGCCTCGCCTTTCCATCGGTAGGTTGGCAGAGCATAGTTTGGCAGCTGGAGCATGCCACCAAAGTCTGATAGTGGCTGAACACACTGTAATAGAAAAATAGTAAGTTGGATTTTCACATTAGTAACAATAAAATGTTATGTTGTCTAGAAAGTGTGAAGCAACACCAATGATCACATCCTAAAGTAGTCCTCAAAAATCAAGAGTGCACATCTACGTTCATAGTCATAGGTGTAGTAGAACTTTTTCATTGAATTAACATGATGTTGCCAAAAGATGTTAATCAACCATGTGACCACGTCTCTGCAGCATACATGTATATACTTAGTGAGCGTAATAGACTGAGTCCAATAGGCATGAGACACTGCACCAATTCTCTCTTTTTTCTTCCGGGGAAACTACACTAACTCTAAATTGAACTCTTTGAACTTCATCTTTCTTTCACAGCAAAGCCCCATAAGATAAAGAAGAATTAGCCAAACATACAAAAAGTCCGTAAATATATTAGTTAGATGAGAATAAACAGATGAAGCAGCAATGATCAATAATAAACACTTGGGTGGGGAATGAATTGCTCCTGCTGAATTCGCTGAGGTGCAGCACCGTGACTTTGCAACAGCAGCCCACATGGAGGCGATCTGCGGCAATGCTGGTCATATTGGCTAGTGTCAGCCTCTGCTCGACTACTCCTGCAAGGATGTCCTGCTGAACCCCCAGACTCCTTGCTGGCCCACGCCACCTTCATGCCTGATAAAACCTATCATAAAACATACATTAGTGATCCTAAAAGATTACCAAGAGATGCTAATTGGAGTGCCGTAATGCCGACAGCCGCTGACCCAAGACGTGTAGAGGCACTTTTTATGTTTTTTCACACAGAATAAAATCCAGTAAAATAGTGCTTAAATAACACCTTTTTTGCATGAGAGCCTTGTATGTAGTTCTATGACAATTAAATAGTGTCCGTTGCATCGGGGGAACACATGCAAGTATCCATGCACCATGCTATTGAAAAACACACTTCAAATCACCGATCGAGATGTTCCTAGTTGCCGCACTTGGAAGCTTAATCCTCTCGCTCCTTCTTTCGCTTCTACGCTCGTGCTTTTTGCAAGTTCGTACGTCCTCAGTCAAGGAGCCGAAACATGGTTAGTGCTCTCATATGTTTTGAACTTTTACTGAATTCAATAATCTAAATATTATAACATTTATTGATGACAGGAGAAACTGAAATTTTCTTAGTCCGTACGTTCAGCAAAGCAATTAAAGTGAAATGTAACATTCCAACTATACAAGATCACTTAAAGTGGTGCAAATACTCCCAGATATGATTGTGATCCAATAAATTGATTTTGATTCTTATATTATGCCATGGGAAAAGTGCATAAATCCTGGCAATGAAGCAAAAAATAATAGAGTTTACACTGAAGATTATCAACAAAGATTAACTCTTAAATAGATTTAATCAATGATGAATAAATGATTCTCTTTTCTTTTTGATTAGAGGGTTCACTACAAAGAAATTTATTTTCTGTTGGAATCTTTCCAACATTGTTAGCGACAATCATCACACTTTTTAAGAAAAGTAGACTAAAGTAATGAGACAACATGTAGTTGCATGTACAGCGTATTCTATCAAGCTTATAGTGTCAAGGAAAAATGATAACTGTTCTTTGTTGGTTTTAAGTAACAGCGGGACTTGAAGTTTCAAAAACAGTACATCAATGTAACACTACTTCAGTGCTTTCAACCCTATCAAGGCACGCAGCCTGTTCTATATGAAGAGGTTTTGCCTCATGCCTCATCACATTTGGGAAGAAGAAAACCTTATCATATTTAACTGGTAGTATTTTGCAAAAGGTACAACATTAGAGATTCACTCTCAAGTAAATTTCAATTTGCATAGACAGACCTGACAATACAACTCAAAAGCCTTCAGGGCGTCAACAACATTCTTGAGGTTTCCATAGTTACTACCAAGTGAAGCCAACTTTAGGATCTGTCTTTCCTGAAGGTTCATGTCAGTCAGATGGATACATTTCACTTATTAAACACAAATATTTGTGCACACTTCAGATTAAGCAAACATACAGCTTGAGGACCGCAAGCTAATTTGCCAAGGTAAGGCTAATCTCCTGCAAGACTGCAACCTCCCACACTTTGACGTCCTCCTTGACAACTCATGCCATGAATTTAGCAACACCATTCAGTAGTTCATCGCTGAATACAAATTAGGGAGACTGAATCTCGCCACCTGAACAATAAATTTATTTACCTCTGTTTTTCGCACTGAGCAGCAGTTGCACAAACTCTTTCTCCTTCCTAATCGACTCCCCGTCTCCATCGCCGCCGCCTTGTCCTTCCATCTAACAACCTGAACCAAGAACCTCCAGTAAGCCATCTGATTTGGTTTTGTCATTTGCTAGCAAATCTAAATTTTTTTCTACCTCGTCATTTGCAATGCTTGGTGGTGTTTTTTTGTTTAAATCATCTTTGAAACTACATTACAACAAATTATGCTTGCAACTCCACACAATCAACCCGCTCCGGATAATTTAGATAATTGTGCCATGATTTATGTAGATTGATTGCCTTTTCAAATCAAATTGTTCCTTTCAGTCAATTATTCCTGAATGTAGTGGTCACAAAAATTTATCTACTGCTTCTGAGTTCAGGAGGGGAGAAGTAGAGATATATTATCCTCAAAACTCTGAGCAAAACTGCAGCACATGAGCTCCTGGCGAAATCCTGGAGCCGCAACAGGGACACTGGACACCCGTACAGTGGCCTGGCACCGGTGGTAGGAGAGCACACGCACACCAACTCAGACCTGGCCTGCAAGACCATGCCCCTTCCCGACCTCCGCGTGTACTCCTACTCCGTCAAC